ACCCAGGAGGGGCAGTTCAGAGATCCTGGAGAGCATATGGGTCCTGTTTTTTTTCCATCCATTCTTGATGAGAACATAGCTCAGTGAGAACAGGGACACAGTGAGATGGGCTCCAAGCCTAGGACATGTGGCATAACTGCTGGAAAGGGCTGAAACCTGCTGGTCCCGGGTCTGAGTGGTCCTGGCACAGGGGCAGCCAGCACACAGAGCAATGCCTGTGTGCAGTGTGGGGGAACTGGGAATGAACTCTTGCAAAAATAATAATGCTAATTAAAAAAAAAAAAAAAAAAAAAAAAGTTTATGTCTACATTACAAGAAGCAGTTGCATTTTGAGGCAGCCAAGTCCTCTCCCTGCTGTTTTCCATAGCTGAGCTGGCCTTTGCACAGCCTCAGCGGTGCGGGGGCCTCTCACGGACAGAGCCGTGTTTGTCTCAGAGGCATGTTGAACTTGGCAGGTACCGTACGTCTAACTCCAATTTAAACTACCACCTTTCCGAAGGAAAAGAGTCTGCAGTACACAACGGCAGCCGCCACAAGGAAAATCTGTTTGGCTGGCTGGAAAACCCAAGCAGGGTCATTAACAGCAGTTCCTCCACCTTTTCACACAAATTTACTCCACAGTCTCGCAGACACTGACCTAGCTGCCTTTTTTTTCCAAGTGAAAGAGGCTAAACCAGCGCAACTTGATTGCAATCAACTTGAATAGACTAACATGTGCTAAACCAGGCAGAAATACAACCTTAAAAAGCACAGGCCAGGTTTGTCCCCCCCCTCCACAAACAACCATCTGTGGTGTGTGTGGATCCAGGGTCTAGCCTGCTGTGCTCCTTGGCAGTCTAATCCTTTCCTGTGGGTTCATCACTGCCCATGAACTGCAGCAGAGTCAGTATCTGACGGTGTGTTTTTTTGGAGCCTGGCCTAGGTGGGTTTCTTCCCCTTTGGCTGGGATGAAACACAAGTTGGTTGTAGATGTGGAGAAGGTTGATGGCAGGGTCTCCATAGGTGGCAGGTCCTGTCCTGCAAGGTCTCTGTTAGCCTGCTGGTGGGAAAGGGGAAAGCTGATCATCCTGCATGGGGTAGAAGCATCTCTCTTTGGTGGGGCAGCTCTCAGGAAGAGCAACCCTGGTTGGAAATTTCCCTGGACACGTCATGTCTGTGGGCAGTGGAGAAGACAACGTGTAGCATTCCTGGGCACAAAAGCTTTCATGCACACCACTATGGAGTACAATCGTTCTCCACTGCCATTTCTACCTCCTCATTCAGTTTACCGTCACTAATACAGTGTTTCTTGTGCAGCTGAGAGCAGACAGGGCGGTCACATGGGAGCTGACTCACGGCTCTCAGAACACAGGGTCATTTGGGTTAATCTCAGCCTGCTGCATACCTAGAGACCCCCCTGGGAGAGTGAGGGCATTCCCTCTCAGCTCTCTGCCTGTTTGCCTTATTGTCAGCTGCAAAGTTGGCTTGTCCTGGGGCAAGGAAACACCCCTTCCAAGGACTGGGATGAAGCAATGGGTGAGGGAGCCTGGTCTGTGCCACCAATTTTTCTAGTCCTCCACCAAAGCAACAGTCTCCCTCTATAGTGCCAGGACCCCCATTGCGGTGGGAGTGCTCTGGATGCTGTAGGCTGAGCAGATTGACCTGGAGAGTCAGGTCTCCCTGGGTACTTTTGGGCAGTATCTAGACCAGAGAAATGCAGCTGAGCTCACTGCACTGTTTTTTCTACTTTTTTGAACTTGCCCTTTTGTGAACAGCAGAGAGACAGGGTAGAACAGGTTCTCAGGGAACAAAGTTTAGTTGCTTACACTTTATCATTTAATGATACGAATTCTGAAGTTGATCTTTGCTCAGGCAGAGCGGAAATTTATTATACTTAATTTCTTAGGAAAGGAGGTCTTTCTTGGGGGAAAGGAGAGCACAGGAGGACCTGTCTGGTTGCTGGAGGGTTGTGTGCTTTAGTGTTACTGTATGCCCAGGCTCTAGGCTTCGACAGGAACAGCCTGGGCTGAGGGCAGCAGCCAGTGAAAGTCAATGTTGATCTTTCTGTGACTCCTGAGATAACACTTCAGCTTGCAGGGATCTTCACGTTCGTTTTTCTGTTTGCTTTTGTTTCTCTTTCAGAACAAAAGGCTGAATACAGGAGGTTTGAGAGCAGAAAGATAAAAGATCAAAACCAGCCTGTATTACCATCTTTCTGGCAGGTGCCATGATGCAGAACCATCAGATGGATATAGCTGGTGTGAGGGAAGGATGAGGGAAATGCTTGTCTCCAGGCAGTCTAGATCCAAATTCAAATTTTCTAGAAAAAAAAAAAAAAAGATTTGACACTGGCAGTCTGCCTAAACATGTTTCTTGTAGGAACTGCTAAGTTTTGGAATGGGACAGCAACTGTGATGGAGCAATAAACAAAATGTTAAAGTAAATGAGAATGATTGAGGTTGTCTTTGTGGTTGTATGCTGATGATGCTTTCCATATCCAGTTACTTTTTCCTGTTGGTGACATGATCGTCCCTCACCCTGTCCCTCTTTTTTTTCCTGTCTGCCCACTTCCTATTTTCTGTTTGCCCTCTTCCCAATCTGTTCTTTCCACCATCGCTCTAAACCTTCATCCATCCTAACTTCTAACGATGCCCAAAGGTCTTTGCAGTTCATCCAGTGCAAATATCTGTTTTCCAAAGCCTCCAAGAGGTTTTCATGCCCTTCTCTGAGGTTTTTAAAATTGGTTCACTCTGCAGATGGGAGACCACCACTATCCCAAAGCATGACTAGATCCAGTAGTCTAGATCCAGTCTAGGTTTAGCAGTGCTCAGGTGCCATCAGTGCTGGAGTAGTCATTATAGGTCAGAGCTCAAGGAGGGTTAAAAATCCTGTTAGTAATGTGAACTAGCACTTTGTCAGCCAGGTCAAAGGAACTGCAGCCTGCCAGAGCTCCAATGCTCTCAGCACCCTGCCCAAAAGATTACCACACTGCACCTCTGGGTTGATAGGGAGACATGTGATAGATTTACCTGTTGGTCCCCTCCCTATTTATTGAATGGTTATCACTTTCCATTACCCCACTCCACTGAACTCAAACAGCAACGTGAAGGCTAGGGTGAGGAGGGGCAATAAACCCACAAGGAACAGTGGTAGCAGAGCAATGATAGCAGCTCACCAGCGAAAGGTGTGAAGCTTCTGTCTCTCTCATCTCATCTGGATGCCTTGTATTGTACCCAGAAGAAATGTTGCTAGCACCAGCCCTTGTGTGTTGTTGTCTTGAATGTGTAGTAAGATCCTGTTATCAAGGTCCCCTCTTCTGAATGGCAACCAGGGCTCTCATGCACAAAATTAAAAGTCCTGTGGCAGCTTATTTCCAATTAGGGGAAAAAAAAAACCCTAACAGATCCACTGAATTAACCAGATGTGTTAATAATACAAAGTGTGGCTTGTCCTCTGTCTCATCCCTGTCTCAGTGTGCATTTATGCTGTTTCCCTGCTTTTGATTTCACATGCCACAGCTGAAAATCATGTGTTTTTTTTTTTCTCATGTGCAGCCCATGCCAAAGTGTACTGGCAAAGCTGCTGGGGGGAAGCAAGAGGTCCTGGCAGCCGGGCAGCCGGACACTTCCCACTGCAGGGATGGGGAGGCAGCTTCGGATTGGGCAGCGTGAGGAGCCTGGTTCTGTGGAAACAATCAGCAACTTCCTTACATAAGAGTGTTGAAAGCCATAGGATCACACTCAACTTGGAGGTTTAACACTCAGGAGTCTGAATACTACAGGCCTTCAAAACCAATGGGATTAATCATGTTTTCATTTGCCTTCTAGTTCTTGAGATTTTTATGCCAGCACTTTTAAAGCTTTCTCTGGAACTGAGAGGAAAAAACATCATTTTCTCCATCAACAGCTGAGCTTGCTGTGTAAAGGTCTGGGGAGTCAGGGCTCTGAGAGGAACACAAGATATTGTCATCCTCACAGTGTAGTTGTGGCAACTTGCAACATTTGTCTCATGGCTTCCTCAGTAGCCTCTTGCGCACTCAGGGAGATGGATGAGTGCTAGCCGAACTTTTAAAAAGGAACAGTATTTTTTTTTCAGCTAGAAAGTCTAAAACTTAAATCTCAAATTACTTATTGAAGTTTTGCAGCAGAAGCTGGTTTCAATAGCAACCCAATGGTTTCCTAAAAGTCATGGTTCTGCCTTAGCATATAGATGTGTTTCTACTTTCAGAGAGTAAATATTGCTCTATGGTGCTGCATATGCTGGGGAGGCTGGCACTAACACAAACACTCTGTGAAGCTATGTGCTTCCTGCTCACTCTGAGCACGGAATTACTCCCACCTTGAAAAAGCTGGTTTCGTAGTTATTTACAGAGCTGATCTTATCAGCAATGTACTTCCCTGGAAACAAAGTTTATTCCAAGAGTTAAAAATATGCATAACCCCATAAAGGGTTTAAAATATATCCTAGTACCATCCAGCAAAAGCTGCTAATTGGAACTCCCACACAGCACTTTGCAATTAACGGTGATGCTGCCGTTTAGAAAAATAGGGGAGAGAGTCTGAAAGTCAAAATACAAAATATAATAAAGTTCTGTCTGAAAACATGGTGCACACCTACAGACAGTATCAGTTATCTTTCATCTCCATGTTTTCTGAGCATGACTGAGTCCTGGTCTTCTCCCAGCCTCTTTTTTTTTTCAGGGGGCACTGTGCTATAGGGGAGCCTGGGGGCTGTACAGAGGAACCACAGCACCTGTTCCTCTTCCCTGCACCAAGTGAGGGTTGTGAGATACTGAATATATGCTAGCTATCTCCCATGTCTTCCTTGCTGCACCATTTCAATCCTGGATTGACCGGGCATCTGCTCAAAAGCTCCTGAAACTGAAGATGCTGTTTTGGGCAGAGCCGGGGAGAGGACTGGCTGATGCAGAATCCCTGAGTCATGTCCCAAATTCCCCTCTGCAGCAAGGCTGCAGGGTAACCTTGAGCTGCACTCCTCTTGGTGCAGAAGGTACAGCACAATGCAGCCCTGAACTTCTGCGTGGGAACACCTGCTTGAGGACCCTCTCCAGTGCTCCTCAGCTCAGGCCTAGTGAAAAGGCAGCTTCATAATGCTGTGAGAACAGGCATCCTTCATTCAGTCACAGAAGAACACAGCTGTAGGTAAGGATTTATCCTGTACTGACTTAGGTTTTTCTCCTTCCCTAGTCCTCCAGTTCTCCCTTGTGTTCAGGCCTGCATTTCCACACTGACCCAGATGTTGGGGCTCAGTGCAAGTGGGGGGCAATAGTGCCTTTATTTAACTTCTTCACATGTAACTGTCTGATGAATGACATTAAAAACAATGACCTCAGGCATGTGGAGTTATTAAAAATTATGAAGGGGTGGGGTGTGTGTGTGTGTGTGTGTGTGTGTGTGGTCATTTGATGCTGGTCACACTATCCAAATCCCAGCAACAGTGTGATCTTAAGCTCTGCTACTGCTTTTTTTCAGAGAATGTTTGTCTATGGGAGGAGAAGGCCCAGGGGCACCTGGGCTTTGCTTTGTTTGTCCCAAACCCTCCTCTAGATTAGACAGAGCAGTAAAAAAGAAAAAAAATCCCAAAACCCAAGGACAGGAATTTCCTTGTTGACATAACAGACTGGCTGAGCAATTCCTGGGGGCTTTCAGCAGGCTAACCACAACTTTGCTGTGGAGCCTTGTGCTCTGAGAGCAGTGTGGGTAGAAAACTACTCCCTTTTGATGTTGGACCTTGAACCCTTTTAATTTTCGGTGTAATTTGCCTTGTTGCCATGGTTGTTGCAGCTTACAAAGGTGAAGTGGTGAGTTTGCACCAAGACAGGCTGGAAGCAGCCCTGTTTCTTCTTCCTGCCTCCCACAGCTGCCCCCCACCCTCCATCTGACCACGCTGAGGTTTGATGGTGGGGAAATGCATTTAGCTTACATCAGAACGATCCCACCACATTCAGCCCTGCATATCATCCTATCACTGCAAGACAGGGACAGCCTGGCTCTCCCACCATTTGCCCCTGCAAACCTCATCACAGCTGCCAGGTTAAGAGTTTCACCAGCAAGCCAAGTCCTTTGCATAGCCACCGCAGCTCTCATCCCACCAGGAAGGTGCTGTGTGCAGGACTGGTGATGATCAAAGGCCAGCTATGAGTCACCTCAAATCCAGTGAATGATCATTAGTTGGGGGAAGAGGTAATTAGACTGGCTTCTCTATCTTGCTGTTATGCTCAGGGGAGTGATGGAGTGGTATTGCAGTCACTGAAGAACTTTATTTGTTAGGAGTGACTCATTGGGTATGCGTCACAAATTATACATGGGAAAAACTACCGGTGCTCCCTGTTGGGAGTTGAAAGTCCAGTGCAATGTGCCCAGATGATCCTGGCAGCAGCCTGATAATGATAGCATCACCTGGTGAGCATTCCCTTCCCTTTCATCTCACCTAGAGGGAAGCTATCAAAGCCAGGTCTGCTCTTGCCACTGATAACTCCATGGGCTATGTACCTGCCCCACTGCAGAAACTGAAGGGGAAATGGCTTTTGACAAAACTAGCAGAGAATCAGAAGAACCAGATGCGGAGCCCTGGTATCCTGGGCTGCCAAGATCTCTCAAGGACTTTGTAGCCCTTGAGAAAGAATTTAACCCGCTGATCCAGGTCAAAGCTTCATGACTTCTCTGTTTCGGTAATAAGCTGCAGTGAAGACTGATCTCAAAGCCAAGATTTTTGCAGTATCCAAAATCTGTCCCCAGACCTGAATTTCACAGTTGAGTAGGCCCATCTTTTGTTTTAAAAAAAGATTGAGTGAAATTTTATTCTTATTTGACTGATTTTTATCCCATGGACTTGCAAATTTCAGTTGAACCAGGTCTTCTTAATAAACTCAATAAACTTTTGAAAGATATATTTCCTAATGTTTCTACTTCCAGAACAGCCTGAGGTTTGGAAAGACGAAGGCAATCAACAATAAATGGAGACAAAATAATTACTTGAATCTTTACATTCTTTTCGCACTTTGAAACCTAATTTTAGACAGCAGCTGAGGCTTAAGGTTTGTTCTTAATTTGCCCAAACTTTTTTTCTTCCACTAGAACAAAACTGGTCAAACTGTATTTGCCCTTCAAAACTTACCTCTGAGAAATGCCCAGCGCAGAATTACTTAGTATAATGAATGTAAACACTGAGAAGATTACTTATTTCCTTTGTGTGTGTTCTTTTGAGTTAGAATTTGATTACACCACTTGAAGAATATCCTCTTACTGTATAAAAACAGAGTTATGGAGATCTGATCCTCATCCTCGCTCCACTGGAGGAGTGCTGCAAAGGTGTGTTGCTGTAAAGCAAGTGTGTCACATCTTCTGCTGGGATGTTGTGCTTTGAGTTTGTTGGGATCACTCTGTGGTGTCTGCTTTGAGATGGTGGATCATGAGCTAGATATTTCTGCTTTTTCATGAAAATAGCCTTTGCATAATCTCAGACACCCTGAGTGGGTAATGAAGGGCTTGATCCTGAAAAGATGCTGAGAGCTGCAGCGCAGCCAGAAACAGGGTAGTAACTCTCTGCTGCCCACCCCAGTGACCCCAAAGCAGAACAACATTTCCCACTAATGTGCTCATCACCTCCTGCTCCGTCTGTGCACCCTGGCTAACATGCAGCCATTGCTTTCCTGTGCAGGAACACCCAGAGGGGAACTGCGGGTGGCTCTGCACTGGCACAGAGGCAGTATCCAGTTTAGCAATATCCGGCTGGTCCCCCTGAAGATGCATCGCTGTGAGCCTTTCACACCCATGGCGGCTGTTGGGTGTGCGTTGCAATTGCAGCCAGTGCCGTGACCTATACTGGTGATAGGTGAATTAAAGCTACCTCTTTGCTCAATATGTGCAAACTCATCTCTCTCTCAGACACACACAGATGCAAAGCCAGAAAAAGAAGGGGCCAGAACTACAGAGTATAATGTCATGACAATCCTCTGGAAGAAGCTCAATACCTGACCTGCCAAAATTCTTCCATTCTCATCTCAATGTCTAACAAAGAGACTGGTGAAACCCGATGGGCATTTTTCCAGGAGGTTTGGGAAGAAGAGAGACGATGGCTTGGTTTCAGGCTGGTAGGACATTAGGGAAGGACATGGCATGCCCTGTGAGACCTGCACTGTTCTGGTTAAACCCAGTTTTATTTTCCATCCTCAGAGAGTTCTCTGCGTTTGAGCTGCACCTTCCCAAAGTGTACACCCTACTCCCAGCTGCTGGGGAAGCTGCAGACCATACAGTGTGCCTGGTAGATGACTGCCTTATCCAAGCTGGGTTAGCAGTTGGTAAAGCTCTTCAGGGCACTGGCTGCCTTGCACCATGGACCAGGTGCTGTGCAGACACATCAGGACTCTGATCTCTTCTGGTCAGTGCCCCTAGGCATTTCTGCAACTCAGTGGGGAATCCTGTCCAGTTTTCTGTCTCCAGAGTGAACACTCATTTTGCTTTTCCCTCCCCCAGCAGACTGGGTGGCTTTGTTTAGAAGAAATTATACAACTAAAGAAGAGCCAGTATGAGAGGCCAAACCTTGAACCAATCCATGGGCATGACTGCACTGTGGGTGACGTGTGGACAGGCGTATCTCTGGGAGGCTAATCTCCCAAGCATGGAAAACAATATGAGGGCAGATGTAGCCGTGGGGCTATGGAGTGAGCTGTCAGAGGGACACCCAGAACCAGGGACACATGCTGTGTTTTCCAGCTGGTGGGAAGATCATGCTGTGCTGCTGGTATCTCTGCTGACGAAACCACGGCTTGGCCAGATGTCCTTCGTTTTACTGTGAAGATCTCTCTCTCATGGAAGAAACTCTCTTCTCCCCTCCTTTTCCTTTCACTGCTTTCAAGTCAAGTTCACTAAAGCTTCCCTGTATCATCCACTGGTCACACCCCTCCTTTACGAATTCATACCAACATCAAACTGGGATGGACAGTAGCTAATTCTAAGTAAGCAGAAGTGTTCACATCCATAGTGTCAACACGGAGGTGTGTGGGCACACTCCTAGTGCCTGCAACAAGGACCACTGCTCCTATGGGGCCACCACTGTGGAGAGAAGGATGAGCTGCCCTGGTCACTGTCCCACGTGGGGTGCAGAGCAAAGGCAGCCTGTTAGGTGGAAGGGGAGATAGGATGGTGTCGCTTGTTTTATGCTAATATCTTGCTGAAAGCCACATCAGATGTTGGAATTAAGATTGCTTCTTCACACCCTTTCGTTTTTGCGGTCTGTTTTGCCAGGATTTTTGTGAAGCCACAGAAGTTGATTAGGAAAGACAAGGCCAGATCCTGAGCTGGATATGGGATGTTACACCAGATTGCCCTCCCTGATTTTCTGGCCCATAGTTTTCAGTCATGCCGCCATAAGTACAGCAGACACAAAGTCTGAGTACACAGAGGGTAACACTGCAGATCCCCACCAAAATAAGTGAAATTCTTGCTGTCAGAACCAGGGACAGGATTTCATTAAAATTACTCAAAAGAAAAAGGCGGTAGTGACAAAGGGAATGGTGTGAACCTAAACCTTCTTGTATTTTTAAGATTGCAAATTTAGTCTTCCTCTAATCCTTTCTGAAGATTTCTTATTGAGTGTTTCTTTTCCCCTGCCACTAAGCTGCTGTTGCTGGCTGCCAGGCAGACTGTCAGCCCATCCCACACATTTGCCAGCCTTCACATAGTTTCTCTGTCAGGGAGAGAGGAACAGTGATGGAGAGCATCTTGATAAATAAGCATCCAGGATCCCTTCATATGGGGGAATCATTGCTGTCCAAAGCAAACCCAACTCACTGGCAGACAGACACTTCATCTTCGGGATCTCCTGCAGCCTGTGTGAGCCAGGGTTAAATGTCTCCTCTCCCTGCTTCTTTCCTCCCCCCACCATAAGACCAGAATGGAGAAGCAAGGAGGGTCCAGTCTGCCTTGAAGTCCTTAGGTCCGTGTCAGAGCTGGGTCTCAAAGAGATACAGGATATTTATCATGGTCCAATTTTCTTTGATCATCAACTGCATTCTTTTGCATTGGTACAAAGGGAAAATTTTAAAAAACCCCTAGGAAGTCAGAGTTTCATACCACTTATTATACCACTGTCATGATGGTGACTATAAAGTACAATAAGGATCTAGAAAATCAGGTTTTCT